CGCAAAATATAAAATAGTGGTTTTTGTTGGGTTTCTCGCACTAGACCTAGCTTTAGAGCCTCATAAAATCATCTCGACCAAATGGAATAAAATTTTACCAAATAGTCAACTTGAACTGAAGTTTATTGCATAATTTTACGTGCGAATTGGTCGATGGGTAAAAACTAAAAAATATTCCAGAAATCCCAGTAGACATCGAGGCGCCATGAAAGATTAATAATCGGTGACAAAGAACGAAGGGAGATGTGACGCATTTTTTCCGGGAAATATGACGTATAGTGGTGTAGAACTTTTGATTGTGTTTTAAAGCGTTGTAAAAAACCGGCGTTTGAACTAAATAGAATTACGATTTAGTTAGTTCCAATTTTAACGCCGAAATGGATCGCGGTTATAAATTGTGCATATGTGAGTAATTAAATATTATAAATCAATTCATTTCTAGACTGTTCTAATTTATTATTAATTAATTGTAAATAAACAAACCACATTAACAAATTTACGTCACACTGGTGTCAGATGTAGGGTTGTGGAAGCTAAATTCAAATCTGGTCAAGCTGAAATGAAAGCAGGTCTGCATGGAAGCTTAAATAGAAGCATGCCAACAAGAAGTGAGAGACATGATTCAAGATTTAGATTATATACAGGATACAGTGTGTCCAAGATAAAATTTATATGATAGAAAACGAAATCGATGAACTACGAAATAGTATATTAAGATACAAGTGTATAATCAAGTCTTTAAAGCACGCGCAACGAGTTTAATGGCACGACGCAAAGCGGAGTGCCTTTAACGTTGCAAGTGCTTTAAAGACCAATTATACACGTGTATCTTATAGTATTTTTTATTATACCTGCAGTATAATTTAAAAAGAGGAAATACAATGAAATCATATTGACGTTATACTCGAATACATGTCTAATTAAGTGGGCTGGGTGTTCGTAATTTCATGATTGCCATGGAAATGTCACTTGACGTTTGCTTATAAAACTCATCGTCTTTGTGAATAAAACGATTTCCGTTGAAAATGATGATACACCGTCCATTAAATCGCTTGTTGTGAAATCTAAACAAACGTTGGTAGGTGTAAAATCCAAATCCAGTAAAGCCAAGGAATATGAAAAGTTGTTTCCATGGATGAATAGGAAGTTACTTACGAATAAAGTCTTAAATGCATCGATAACGCTGGCATATATGAAGGAAATGTCAAAGGTATTTAAATCTTCTATCTTTTGGTGCATTCATTCAAAACTTCCAACAATGCTGCGATTAAAAAGTGGAACAGATTTGGAAGCCAATACCCTAAATTACGCGCGTTTGTGAAAGTTTCAAGCAAAGGATATGTACAAGCCAAAGATGTTCTGCATTTACAGAAAGCGACCTAAGAGGATTTTCTATTTCACCCAGATGACAGTTTCAAAAGTCATACTTGAAGTATCGTTACTTAGCAACTTTAAAGCACGTGTGTTTTAATAGTTATTTATGCAATGAGTGTATAAATGAGGCGTTTTATTGGTGAGTGAGATGTTTAGTCCACGAGCGCAGCGAGTGGACTAAATTCGAACGAACCAATAATCGCCGATTTATACATGAATTGCATACAACGTTTTTTCGTCGACTTCACTGGGGTAGGTAATTTTAAATTCAACTACAAGAAATTACAAACGAAATTATGAGCTCCGACGATTTTTCACTAAATTACAGCTATTGTCGTTGCTATAGTAATGTGTTGTTTTATGCTGTACCGTCAGTCCTCGTAATCGCAGTGGAAGATTATGTTGCTTGCTCTGCTGCGGAGACGATTTTAACATTATATCCACTCAAATCAAAAGAAACTTATTGGAACGGTTTCGATCAGTTCGGCAATTGATGGAATACAATGAATTTGAAAGGAGATATTTCCGAAAATGTTACGTTGACATTTTACCTTGAAAAGGTATGTGAAATTAGAATGTAATTAATTGTTTTGCAACTGTATTAACAGTGAAAGATATGGAAATGTTCATCCCTGTGGTCGACGTACTCAATGTTGAAGGTAAAGTAACTGAATACCTTAACAATACCTTATCCGAGGTGCTACACATACATCCATCAGGATATGCTTTGCTGAGATCGTTTGGCGACCATACTGGCTGCTGATCTCACTACATTAAAACCGACATTAAAATGGTTAGGTGGATGGAAGTTTAAAGCTGTTGCCGAAAGTGAATTGTTATATAATTGTCATTTCCCTTTAATAAAATGGTTGTTATGTATAAGTGGTTGCTAACGATTAATGGTTGCTAACGATTAATGGTTGCTAACGTATAATGGTTGGTTGCTAACCATTAATGGTTGCTAACGATTAATAAGCTTCATCATTGTACTCGTCACTAAGGAGTAATTTATATTGTTATCGAGAGGTCGACGAAAATAGTTATTTGTATACTTAGGCCGCGAAGTCATTCTTTAACGTACCGAAAAGAAGATTGGCGCCGAGGCCGCTTGCGGCCGAGGCAAGGCAACTTTGAGGGCGTTAAAGAATGACGCGGCCGTGGTATACACAACATTTTTTGTGCAATTGTGTAAAATCGTCAATAAATAAAAATGAGATTTCAAAAATAATAATTTTCGTCGCAAATAGAAAGGCGGCCAGTTTTCATTTTACCATGGAAATGAGATAAACAATGAATAATTTTTCGTGAAAGAAAAGTCAAAATGTGTGACTCCGAAAGTGATTCTTCGATATCCGGAACTCCTCCGGAAATAAAACTTGTTGCGAATTCTGCTGTGTCGCAGTACCTGAAAAATCGAAGCGGCAGTACGAAAAATGCTACAAGGACTTTAAAGACTGGTGCAACAAGAAAAACGCCAAAACCTTGTCTGAAAATGTACTAGGTGTGGGAATATGAGGTAGACCGAATTAACATTTATTTATGTAACAAAGTAAACTGAACACTTCAACTAAAACTTAAGAACACAATGTATGTCTGTAAGTAATAAATGTCTGTTTGTATGTAGGTATTCAATATTTGTGTGTGTGTGTCTGATTTTACAAAGTTTGACAAGTGACAAGTGATCTCGCCACACAGCCGACTAATACTACATTTCTCCCCCACGGAAGAAAACAAAATAAAAGAAAATTAGTCCAGATATCGAGCAGGAAGCTTTCTGTTTCTCACAGGGTTCCTCCTTGGTGCATCATCATTTGAGTTACTACCTGGTATGTCTTCAGATAGGCTTTCCTGATGATTTTGGCTGTTCTGATCCGATGTTTGGTTCTGTGTTAGCACTTGTGAGGGTATTGAATATTCTGAGATTTCCTGTAAATCATTTGCTTCGTTATCAGAGACACCCACCGTCTTCTTCCTCATTTGGTCACAATGTTTTCTTTTGTTAGTACCATTTATATTAACTATATAGGATAGTGGACCCGTTTGACTTATTATTTCGCCAGGTGAGGAGCCCTTTTCGAAAGGATTATTTACCCATACTTTCTCCCCTTTTTCAAAATATTGTTCCGTGATGGCGGTATGGTCATGATTCTTTTTCTGAACGAATTTTTCGTACTCCATATTTTTGTCTATGTCTGGTTTTAGTAAATCAAAACGGGATCGAAGGTGACGTCCGAACATCATCTGACTTGGCGTTCTCTGTGTTGACCTCCTGACAGTATTTCGATAACAAAAAAGAAAACTCTGAAGTCTTTGGGATTGGTCTAATGTTCGGTCACTTGCGTACATTCTCTCTTTGAATGTTCGCACTGTACGTTCCGCTAGCCCATTTGATTTTGGATGGTAAGGTGTTATTTTTACATGTCTTATTCCATTTTCGTTACAGAAAAGTTCAAATTCGTTTGAAGTCAGTTGGGGTCCATTGTCTGTGACCAGAAATTTTGGCAGACCAAAACGTGCAAAGATGGCCCGCAAGGAGTTTATTGTGCTAGTAGATGTAATATTTTCCATGGGTATTATTTCTAACCAATGGGTATAGGAGTCTATTAGTATCATCCACATCTTTCTTTCAAAAGGTCCGGCGAAGTCCAAATGTAGACGACACCATGGTTCTGATGATATCCCCCAGGGAAAAAGAGGGGAGTTGTGCTCGTTTTGTCTGGATTGTTGGCAAAAATGGCATTTTGCCACAGCTTGTATAATGTCAGAGTTGATATTTGGCCAATAAACGTGGAGTTTTGCTAATGATTGCATCGCGGTTATTCCTGGGTGACCGTCATGTAGCATAGCCAGTACTTCAGGTTGGAGAGAAGATGGAATACAAACGCGGCCTTTCCATAATAAAATATCTTCCTCGAAAGATAGTTCATCCCGTTTTTCATAGAAAGTAAGTAAGGGTTTATCTAAGTATCTTTTATCGGGCCAGGATGCCTTTACATATGTAGTTATTTTGGATAAAACCTTGTCTTTGGCACTTTCTATCTTTAGTGTGCGTTTTGACATTGGTAGTTTTTTTATCCGTAGATGTAATAATCACATATGGCCAGATAGAGTCATTTGATTTTTACTATTTGTTAGTGGAAGTCTTGATAAAGAATCAGCTGGATAGTTTTCCTTTCCCGGACTATAGTACACATCAAAATTATAGCTGTTTAAAATCATGGCCCATCTTACCAATCGATTACTAGCAATTTTTGGTGTTTGGCGGCTTTCGCCAAAGATGTGCTCCAGGGGCTTATGGTCGGTGAGCAACGTGAAACGTCTGCCATATAGGTATTGATGAAATTTTGTGACTGCGTAGATCAATCCTAAGGCTTCTTTATCGATAGTAGAGTATCGCTTTTCTATGTCGTTAAAAGAACGGGAAGCAAAAGCGATAGGTTTTAGTGTACCATCGTAAAATTTGTGCGATAATACTGCTCCTGTTCCAACGTCACTGGCATCGCTTGAAACTATCAGAGTTTTAGATGGATCGTAATGAATTAGGGTGTCATTTGAAGTTAACACATTTTTCAGTTTATTAAAAATTTCTGTGTCTTCAGTAGTCCAGTTCCAGTTTGTATTTTTCTTCAAATGTCGATGGAGCGGAACACATATATTACATGAAAATTTTCTATGAATCGGCCATAATAGGTGATTGTTCCAAGAAACGATCTTAACTGTGTTGTATTTATGGGTAAAGGCATTTTCTTTATTGCTTCAATACGGTCTTCAGTGGGATGCAGGCCATTTTCATCTATTCGGTGGCCCAAATACGTAATACTGTTTTTCAACCAATCGCATTTTGATTTTTGGGTCTTTATTCCAGCTGCTTGTAATCGACGTAAAACCATTTTAAGCCGATCCATGTGCGTAGACACATTCGGAGCTGTTATCATAATGTCATCAAGGAAACATACAACTCCTTCTAAACCGGAAAGTATCTGGTCCATTGTACGTTGAAATAGAGATGGGGCAAAACTAATTCCGAATGGTAAACGCTTGTAAGCGAAGTACCCTTTTGGTTTGGAAATGACTAAATATTTCCGGCAGTCTGGATGAACTTCCATTTGCAAATAGGCATCCTTTAAATCAATTTTTGAAAAATATTTCCCTCTCGAAAGTTTTGAAGTGATGTCTTCGAAACGTGGTAAGGGGTAGTCATCAATTTGAACATGCTTGTTTATCGTAACTTTGAAATCTGCACATATTCTCAGCTTTCCATTCGATTTTAAGGCTACTACGATAGAAGAGGCCCATGAAATTGGAGTGACCGTTGTGTCCACTGGTTCTAGAACACCCTCCACCACCAGCCTATTTAGTTCTGCAGCCACTTGGTCCTGCAATGCTAAAGGAATATTTCTGGGACGAAAAGCTTTCGGTATAACATCACTTTTAATATGTATTCTGGCTTGATGCCCTTTTATAGCACCCAGACGATCTTCAAAAAGTAATGGAAATTCTTTTTGCAATTGATCGATTATAGAATTCGTTTCTCCCTCTTCAATATTGTTAGAGACACTCATTTGTTTCAGATGACAAATTTTTGCCCCCGGAGGTAGTGGTAATTTAAAAGCTAGACACCAATCTAAACCGAAAAGTGGAACATCATCTTGTTCGGTAACATAAAGCGGTAAATTTAGTTTATTATTAAAAGCTTTAACTGTTACCAAGGATTTTCCCAAAGTCTTTATTGGTTTCTCACCATACGCTATTAAATCTGAGGTTCGGAATAACTGTGGTTCACCAATTTGTTTCCATGTAGTCTTCCCGACAACAGCGTGAACTGAGCCTGAATCATATAACATTTCAATTTTTTCTTTGTTTATGTAGACCGGCAAAAGTACTTTTGTGGCAGGGCCGTCTTTTCTCACGTTACGTATCGCCTTGTTCTTCATTTCATCGTCCGATTCTGTTATACTTTCAGATTCAGATGAAGTTTGTTCACTATCGCTATCGTCACGAACATAGCGCGTAGAATGCTTTGAATGTCCCTCGTATGCGTTTGATTTAGTACTTTGTTTTATTACTGCACGTCCCGAAATTACACAAACACGAGCGAAATGATTTTTTTCTCCGCAACTGCTACACACTTTCCCATAGGCCGAACAATATTTTTGCCTATGTTTGGAATCACCGCAAAATAAACAGTCTGTTTGTGGATTTAAGTCAATAATTTTTTGTTTATTGTCATTTGGCAAATGTTTGTCACTTTTAAATTTTTGTTTTAAAGTTCCCGGTTTACTTACGCGGTTCACATAATTATTGTCTGAAATCTGATTGATTTGTAAACTGTTTAACTGCTTTGACTGAATGCACGCTTGTTCTAAAATGAGAGACGTCGCTTCGACTTCGTCGAAAGTAGTATCGTTTGTTGAATGTTTTTGAATAATCTTTTCTTGCCATTCGCGGTTGTTTATGCCGAAAATTAACTGATCACGCATTCGTTCGTTTAAGCCAGCCCCAAAACTACAGTCTCCAGCTGATGCACGCAATCGGTTTATATAAGTAGTGACACTTTCATTTTCATTCCTAAAACAGCCCGCAAAGTTTATTCTTTCAGCAAAAATGTAAACCTTTTTACCATAAATTTTATTTAGCACTGTTGTGAGTCTTTTCGATCAACTTTTCGGGTTTAAAGTGATCAAATAAGATTTTAAAAACGTCTGCACCTACCTTTGATAGCAGCAAATTTCGTCTTACCTCCGCCGAATCATTTCCCATTAGTCCACGTATTTCCAACTCCAATTCAAAACGCTGCAAGTAATAATCCCACTGCTCTTTTTTAGGTTGAAAATTTTCAAACCTAAACTTTTTGTACGTGTCCGCATCATTGTCATTAACGAATAGGTCTTCATTTGGCATTTCCACTTATTTTATTGAAAAGCACTATTTAAAACGTTTCCGCGATAGGTACACTAGGTATTTTAAAATTTTTAGTTCCCACTTACAAAATCGTCGCCAATGTGGGAATATGAGGTATGAAAAAATGACTATCGAAGAAATTCAGGACCGCGAAGATGTTTTAATAGTTACTGTTCCCGATACTAAAACGGACATAACGGACACTTTCACCATTACGAATCCAGAGTATATAAGACTGTATCGCAAGTATGCTGCCCTACGCCCGAAGCGTGTCACCAGTCGTAGATTCTTTTTAAGATACGAGCAAGGAAGGTGTCATGCTCAAGTCGTAGGGGTACACACGATTGCTAAAATTCCATGTTTGATCGCAAATTATTTGAAATTACCGGACAGTGAGAAATACACAGGTCACTGTTTTAGGAGGAGCTCTGCTACCCTCCTTGCGGACAGTGGCGCTAGTACATCAGTTCTTAAACGCCACGGTGGCTGGAGATCCAGCACCATTGCCGAATCGTATGTCGAAGATTCTATAGAAAATAAAAATAAAATTGCAAATTCAATTTCCGGTTTTACATCAGAGCATAACTTAAATCCAGGGCCAAGTGTACCTGTCAGTTTGAGTTCTAATGAAAATCAAAATGTTACAGTTTCAAAGTATAACGCTTCTAACACTTTAGACTTTATTTCAGGAGTAAGTATAAGTAACAATACGAACTGTACGATTAATATTAACATTTATCCAAAAGATTTGTAATTACATACTTTGATTGTCAAAATATATGTGACATTGTTTTACTTTAACGGCCGTCGCTATGGCAGCGGCCGCGAAAGTGAATTTCGCGGCCGCCATGGCGAACGCGAAGTTGTTGTTTCGCATCCAATTGCACAAAATAGTTATTTGTGTACCAAGGCCGTAAAAGTGATCTTTTTTGGCCGAAGCTGCTGTTTGTGGCCGAGGCGGTAGCCGAGGCCGCAATCCAGATGAGGCCTAACAAATCACTTTTGGCCAAGGTGCACACAACATTTTTTAGGCGATCATCAAAAAAGAATTCAAAAATTTGCTCATAAACATATTTTTTCTGAAAATCATAGTTATCTTAGACAATTAAAAACAAAGCATTGCGACCCTATGTCATATATGATATAAGAGCAGGCGTTTGAGAGTAAAAGTACAATCGCAACTTCCTCCGCTGCACAAGATTTTAATAATGTCAAATGCAATAGGTCCTTCGTAACTGTGGCTTCCAAGACCTTATAGTTAACATGCTGTACAATTATTAGAAACCTGATTTCCTACTTTGATGGTAGGTATAGGTAGCTACTTGTGTTTTCGGTTAATTGCTGGTGATTCTACGTATAATAATGTAAGCAACAACATCTTCCTCATGTTTTGGTTCTACACTTCAAAAAGGTCTGCAGGCAGCAAAGATTGAAACGTCACACTATAATTTTAAATGTGAACATTGTGATTATGCAAAATGGTGTGAAACATTCCTACAAGTCCGAAAATGAAAAAAACGCACGTGGATGGCCCAATCCTTGATGGGGCGAGACGAGATAGACGCTTTGTATCAAACAGATTACTGTTTCTCACACATCAGTTTCAAACAAGTACAGTTTGACAGATGTGTACAATAAAGTAATGTTTGACAGAAGCGTACAATAAAGTGAAACTTTATGGCCGCAAAAGCGACCATAAAATCAACGTTTTTGTGATGATAGCCTAAAAAGGCCTTTTTTCGCACGCATTTGAGTGTTTAAAACGGAGATTGTGATTCAGGTATCATAAATAGTATATTAAGATACAAGTGTATAATCAAGTCTTTAAAGCACGCGCAACGAGTTTAAGGGCACGACGCAAAGCGGAGTGCCTTTAACGTTGCAAGTGCTTTAAAGACCAATTATACACGTGTATCTTATAGTATTTTTTATTATACCTGCAGTATAATTTAAAAATAGGAAATACAATGAAGTCATATTGACGTTATACTCGAATACATGTCTAATTAAGTGGGCTGGGTGTTCGTAATTTCACGATTGGCATGGAAATGTCACTTGACGTTTGCTTATAAAAATCATCGTCTTTGTGAATTAAACTATTTCCGTTGAAAAAGATAATACACCGTCCATTAAATCGATTGTTGTAAAATATAAACAAACGTTGGTAGGTGTAAAATCCAACTCCAGTAAAGCCTATTATAAAGAATATGAAAAGTTGTTTCCATGGATGAATAGGAAGTTACTTACGAATACATTCTTAAATGCATCCATAATGCTGGCATATATGAAGGAAATGTCAAAGGTATTTAAATCTTCTATATTTTGGTGCATTCATTCAAAACTTTAAAGCAATGCTGCGATTAAAAAGTGGAACAGATTTGGAAGCATACCCTAAATTACGCGCGTTTGTGAAAGCTTCAACCAAGGGATAGGTACAAAAGCCAAAGAAATGTTCTGCATTTACAGAAAGCGACCTAAGAGGATTTTTTATTTCATCCAGATGACAGTTTCAGAAGTCATACTTGAAGTATCGTTACTTAGCAACTTTAAAGCACGTGTGTTTTAAAGGCCCTTTTTCGCACGCATTTGAGTGTTTCAAACGGAGATTGTGATTCAGGTATAATAAAAAACGATTTATGTTATTGAGTGATGCACGCGAAAAGAGCGATCTGTCATCTGTGATAAGACAAGATCTACTTGCTGTTCCGCAATCATCCCGCAAAGAAGCCTCCGAACCGTGTGAAAATATTGGTACAACAAAGGCTCAAGTTAAGCCATCGACATTCGATGGGAAATGTACGCTGTCCACCTACTTGAGACAGTTTGGCGCCGCCGATACAAATAAGTGGACAAAGGAAGAGAAGGCAATTTTCCCGAGAGTTGCTTTACGTGGAGATGCGTTGAATGTTTTGCGTACGATTCCACCACCAACTGCAGACTACAGTGCATCAAGTATTAGGAAAGGGGAAGTGTAGCGAGCATTCGAGACGCCATGAAAGATTAGTGATAAAGCGATAAACAAAGAAGGAGGATGTGACGCAATCTTTTCGGGTAATATGACGTGTTTTGTTTTAGAACATTCATGGCGGAGGCGTTCGCAAAAAAACCGGCCAATCGAATTGCGAATTAGTTAGTTCCAATTTCAACGCCGAGTAATAAAATAAATCAATTCATTTGAAGACTGTTACAAATTTATTGTTAATTTATTGTACCTAAATAAATAAATCACCTAATTAAATTTACGTTACAGCAGTTCTATTAGTTTTTTCAATCTACGTAAAATTTGAAGTAAATATGATTTCATAAAATAAATTGCCTTTTATACTAGGGATACAGAACAGATCCATCATTTTCAGTTTTTCATCAAATAGGACATACAGTGTGTCCCCGGATGGACTGAACAAGAGGGAAAAAATTGTTAATTTTAACTTTACGCAAAAATGTCATTCTTTATAAAAAATTTTGCTTTTTTTTGGAAGATACAATGATAGTCTGATTTAATCAAAAACATGCAACTTAGAAAAATTTCCGCTGTAGATTTTGCGTTTTTTGTAATTTTCTCAGCTGCTAAAAGGAATATCTAGATTTTTATTTCAGAATAGGTGGTTTTGAGGGAAGCAAAAATTTTTATAAAGAATGACATTTTTGCGTAAAGTTAAAATTAAAAATTGTTTCCCTCTTGTTCAGTCTATCCGGGGACACACTGTATGAAAATTGTCCACAAAATGGTATAAAATGAATTCATAAATAAATAAGACCCAAATAAATTTGACAATAAATATTTTTAGCTAAAAAGTGAATGCAAGAGAAAGGGGCGGTCTTTTACTTACTGAAATCTTATGCCGTTTTCTTACTAAAACCACGACCTTACTTCAAAACCGAACCGATACCGAAGGAGAAATTAGTGGTGAGTTAATTGTGGAGCACTGTACTTCTTCCAAAAGAGATAATGCTGCTTAGTAATTGCATTCAAGTTAAGTTTTGGGGCTGTGATGTGGATCAAGGGTTTGCTGTTTTTGGGGTTTCCTAACCTCTGTACGCAGAGGTCTTCAGTGTACCTACCAGCAGGGCCAGGGGAAGTGGAATCGGACACTAAAAATGGCCTCGTTTTGTGGAAAGTTTCCAATAGGCATGGAAGAGTTGGTCAGATAATGACACAGAGAAATATTCACCACCTTCGACGTAAGACTGAGATTCGCTGCTATCGGGATTGTTTGCATGCACCCCTGATATTTTAAAGATCTGATGTAATTATTTTCATTGTTTTGTTGCCTCGAATAGATTTTGTTTTTTATAAATCATCACAGACTACTGGATTAAAATATAAAAACCATTGATAAAATGGTATCTTATTCTCAATCTTATGCTATGATAGCTCTTTGAAAATGGAATCAAAAAACCTATAAAGTAATCTAAAAATTCAATATGACGCTTATTTAGCTTTATGAAGTTGGTAAATGTTCCTCAAAAGTAGCCATCTTGAATTTTTTTTTTACATCAGTTCTATATTACTTCTGCAGCAGATATATGATACAACTGTGGCAAAATTGGGCACCAAGTTAGGAACTGTAAGGAAGATGATTCATGTGTAATGAAATTGAGCTGGAATGAGAGGACGGGCATAGGGATTTTACTCGTGCGTGTAACTACAGAAAACTAAGGGAAGAAAATGCACAACGAACGTGATCTCACAGAGGAGCGGGAGGGATCGACGTAACTTCTGTTACAAATAAATACAAGGATCATGTGAAGAATTGGAAGGTTTTGGAGGACTAGTCCCTAAGGTGAGAAAGAGTTACATTTTCTGAGAGTTCGAGGAAGGCGAAGAAAGAAGAGGCTACAAGCTAGAACACTAAAAAGCTTGATATTGTGGCTCTTGACTTCACAAACGGCCGACATGTCGATGAGACATTTCCCTGAAGAAGAAGAGCGGATCACAGGGGTGTACTGGTGGCCCGACAAGATTGCACAGCAACGTAAGACCTGCAATGTGGCAAGGAGGAGTAAGGAGAAAATTACGCACCGAGACGAGTCTGGCAGAGAAGAAGGCGGCCCTGAAGAGAGAACGAGACCAGCTGTGTGACGAGCTAGACAAAGACATTTGGGGGAAGGCATACCAGATAGAACTTTTCCCTATCCACGACCGTTTGAGCCAAGGGTAAGAACCCAAGAAGTAGTGCAGGTTGAGGAAATAGTAGCTGCTGCCAACGAACTGCCGGCAAATAAAGTACCCGGCTCGGGTAACATCCCTGCGGTTGTGGTTAAAATCCTGTCTAAGACCCAATCTAGGTTTTGGGAAGCAGCACTAGACAAGGCACTGGATACAGCCAGAACATACAACCTAAGAAAATGGATAATCAAGTAAGCTGGCCCTGATTCCCAAGAATTATGCCCAGCTAGCTCATCGACAGGAGAATTACAGCCAACAAACCGGACGGTGAATAAATAATATTTGACGCCACAGCGGGGGTTCCACAGGCTTCAATCCTAGGGCCTGCCCTGTAAAATATACTGTATGACAAGTTGCTTGAGTCTATACAAGTGAGCTGCTTGGGGTCGAGATAATCACTTTTGCCGACGACCGAACGCGGATAGTTCGTGACAGAAAATTGGACTCGCCAATTACCAAGCTAGAGGAAGTGATTAACCGGGTAAATAGATTAATAATCAATCGCAGGCTGAGTCTGGTGCCGGGAAAGAAGAGTTTAGCAATCTTGAGGGGCAGAGGAGAATGACAAGAGGTAAATATCCAAATATTGGGCACCGCAATTATACAATTAATCCAAATTAATTCCAGTTCGCGCGTTTCCTTAACCAATGGGTTCTGAGTACCGCGACCAATCCAGGCGTTCACAGTTGAACGAAAGTTCAGGGTTAGTCGACGAAAAATAAGTGACTATTACCTCACCACATCCAACTTCACACTTACGGTGGCATACAAAGGTAATAAAATTAGACCCAAAAGATGAAGAGTCCGTAATCACGCGAGTCGTCGGTTTTTTTTTAAATTAAACTCGACCTTGAACCACGAGAGTGAGTGAGACTAAATTTGAAGGGAATCTAAAATCCAATGATTTTTTTGGGGTGTCAAATTGTAGAAAATCGCAAGCGCCCATTTTCCAGGTTGAGATCTACCAGCCTCCATGACCACCCGGTATATGAACGCACGGTATCAAAACGTGATATAAATTCGTTACGAAAAACTGTAGCTTCTAGACCTATGTAGTTTTTTTACTAGGAGAAGGTAAAAGTACCTGTTTTGATTTCCAGCGTCGTGATTTAGCCACCGATCCAGATGCTGTAACTGATTTGCCGTTTGTAACCGTTCCCGTGGGCATATATAAATTTCGGGATTTCAGCCCGTAGTTAATTAATTGTGTTGCAGAAAACCTCGTCAGATTAGATTGTGTATAGTATCACATGAAGCGCGCTTAATTGGTATGGACTTTAAGGCTAGTCTCAGATTTTTAGGACAACAGGGGATCGAGTAATTACTTAAAGAAGTTTTCGTTTTTCAATGCGTTCTTAAGACATTCACGGAAATGGTCAATTTTAGTTTTTTTTTTAATTTACGTCGAACCTATTCAACATTTTGAATTTCCACAAGGAAATTTTAACTAAACAGCTAAAACTGCAAAACATTGTCCATTTAACCAATTATCTATCTTTAATAATAAGAAAGTTACCCATGCAATCCCACGCAATCTGGAACACACTGTATACGTACGTGTTCTGAACCTAAAATACTATACGAAGTTGCAAAAATGAATGTTAATTAGCATGTGCCAGTATGAAGCGAAAATTCTCCCCTCCTATATAAGGTAACTATATTAGGAGTATGATTTGACGCGAACACTAAGCTTGATAGCTCATATACCAGATCTTGTGGCTGGGTACAGAAAGGGATTATAAATATAATAAGACGCCTCAGTGCGACTAATTAGGAGTACAGAAAATACGCTTCCCTTAGGCTTTACAGGACATTTGTAATGTTCATTTCATAATGGACTACTGCTGTGTTGTGCATTCCTTGGAAAATGTAGATGTGATGCTAGAATATCAAAATAGGACTATTATTCTCATTCGCGTATTGGCTATTTTTGGTTTCACGGTGACTGCTTTAATGGTTTGAGCTGCTCTGGCACACCGAAGTTGTAACTAACGCCATCTGGCTAGGTGGGCGTTACTGCTAAGAGATTTTAGGTATAAAATAGTTCATCGGTCGAGTAAAAGTATGCGGCACGTCGATTCTTTAAGCCGGAATCTGTTGCTGAGTATTATATAGTAAGTGAGCATGAAGGTGGGTTGATTACGCGTTTTAGAGGTGCATAAAGCAAGGACAATGAACTCCGTAAGATTATAAATGCCAGACCGATGAGTATGTAATTAGAAATAATATTTTGTATAAAGATTGCAAAGACGACCTGTTAACGGTAGTGCTGAATGCAGGCACCTACGCGGGGACACTTTGGCGCAACAAAAACAGACGCGCGAAGGCGGGGGATTGTTAAACAAGATGTATGGTTTAAGGGGCTGCGTGAGAAAGTCAAACAAGTGAAATTTAAGCAGGTAAGTAGAGGTAAATAATTTAGATTTTATGTTTTCTTACAGGTTATCGATTTCGAAACATAACCTCATTTTATCATCCACACACTATTTATTTCATAATTTTAATATAAGTCGACATAACACACATAGTGAACAATTTTATATATTTTTAGATCTCGTCCACAATAACTACTAAAATTTGTATTTCATTCACAACAACCATCAAAATATAAATGTAACTCATGGTCCTCCATACAGATGTACATACTCTATTTCATTCAATAATTTAAATGACGCAAGGTCTGATGATGAAAATAAAAATTTGAAATCGATAACCTGTAAGAAAACATAAAATCTAAATTATTTACCTCTACTTACCTGCTTAAATTTCATAAATAATTTCCATATGGAGCAATACATCAACAAAATCAAACAAGTGACTAGACTACATCTTAGCTTAGCGGAAATCAGGTAATCAAGATTGAATAACGGTGACACGCCGCTGAATACCTAAGTACCACATTGATCACGTTGGTCCGATGACTGCTGCATTGAAAAGTATGCGTACATGCTGGTAGTAGTAGACGTGTTTACTACGCAGTTTAAGGAGCGACGGTGTGAATTAAGAAGCAAAGAAAAGGATTATCGAGACGCAAGAGGCAAACAGGAAAAATCTTTATAAAAAGGACACAATTCAGTACAGGTTCAAAATCGATAGGGCCGTATCTAGGGGTGCGCCCATTGCGAAACGATCGGTACATCGTAGAAAAAATGGCTGACGGTGAGGGACGATAGCGAACTTAGACAAGGAAAGATATAGCGTAACGTCTGTGACGGCCAATTCCATGAAACTGACGATGACAATGAAGATAAGAACTGTTTAGAAGAAAACGAAAGAAAGAGAGAGTGGAAAAGTTGGTGCGAGGGTGGATTCAATTTTCGTATAGTTTCCTGACAGAAAGTAGGCATGAAAATGAAGGTTTTCAGGACAATTTTGAAACGTAATTTAAAACTGAACGACTATTTACTTTGCGGGGAAAAGATTTCTTAATAAACAACAAATATTACATAAACTTTCATTGTTTACAAGGGAGATAGCGCTGCTTAATAATTACGTGCAATTTAAGTGTTGGGGCTGTGATGTGGATCAAAAATTGACCGTTTTTTTCCTACCCTACGTACACAAGAATTTAGTGTACCTACCCTGGCGTAATGTAACAGAGGCAAAAGTGATACCCGTTCTCCAATTATGCTCTTTCCTAGAACTTCTTCAAATTTTCCATTGAAAACTTGGTATTCTACTTCCCCGTAAAGAGTGTGTAATATGACAATACATCGGTTTGTGGAGGAATTATGTAACATTAAGTACCGCCACGTAACAATGTAAAAAGGTGGAAATCTTATCACGAATGAGCAAATACTACCCGAGATAGTGTCTAACGAGTGTTATCCGGACGGGGTACTCACCATAGGTATAAATACAGCACAAATGCCAACTCCGGCCCTCAAATAAGAAATGTCGCGGTTTTTATTGCTACTTCTCTCAAGCAGTGTCTTCGGTAAGTGTTACTGTCTAAAATACAATTGGTCATTGGAACTAACCTGATGATGCAGGTGCCACCTTAAAGAAAGACAAGCGTATTGCTGACGGCCAACCAGCAGGGGAGGGTGCTTTTCCTTACCTGGTTTCTATACGTATCGATGGGCAACATGAATGTGCAGGATCCATACTTGATGCCACCACAATTCTCACTGCAGCTCACTGCTTATTTGGGTACCTAAGCAATTAAGCATAAAAAAATACAATGGGCCTAAATGACCCTATTTTCTGTGTTACAGATTCCAACAAATGTCTATGACTGTCACCGCAGGTTCTATTACACTGGACACAGGCGGCGATACGTATGAAGTCTCTGTTCGCCGTATGCACGAATTTTATGACCCGTACACGACACGAGGATTTAAGAACGATATTGGAATATTGAAATTAAAGACCGCGATCAAGTTCTCTGACAAGGTTCAACCTATACGATATCTAGCAGCTGGCGACGTAGGCGTCTCAGTTCGCTGTGTTTTGCCTGGGTGGGGAATGACGAAGGAAAACGGAGATAGAACCAACCAATTGCAGTTTGTGTATTTGCTAACCTTTCCTACTGAAACATGCAGTGAGACCTGGTTAGCTTCTGAATATAAGTTTAGCATTGACGATAGACAGCTTTGCACTTTTACACAAGATGGTCAAGGATCATGCAAAGGGGATTCTGGCGGTCCGTTAGTTGTTGGAACTGGATTCCAAATTGGTATTGTGTCAATGGGACTTGGATGCGGCATAGGGCCTGGTGTCTTCACTAAGGTTGCCTACTACAAAGACTGGATCGAGAGGAACAGAAAATAAATTCTTCTCTGTCAATGTGTTATAAAATTACAAAGTAGTAAAAGACATAATTACTGAAATTCACTTAACCAATTTTTTGTTATCGCTTTTGCTGCAAACGTTGGAAGATAATAATTAATAAAAATTAAAACGATGTAGCCAATTTATTAGCATCCAGATATCTATTGTGTCAGCATTTTGAAAAGTTTTTGAGAAGTGTTTAGTCATACGTTTGTCCCACCACCTTGAAGGTTTCCGTCTCAGCACGGCTTCCGAACAGGCGGATCTACCACTAGCGGCTCTACAGGGTGTAGCACCTAAGATGCCTCGGATCATAACTCCTTTACCATAAAAGATATCGAAAAAAGTGCAAAATTGTACACAATTACCACCGGCGTGTTTCTAAAATATTTTTGATTACCAGGGGCGTGCTGTATTCCAGTGGCGTATCAAACTTGCATTTTTTTAAATGGAACACCCCATATTTTATTACTGATTTGGAACGTTCTTCAAAAGTACTTATTTTTTTATGTAACATGTTATACCCCTAACTGTATCGATTTCGCCAAAAATGGGCAATTATTCGAAATTTTTTTGAGAGAAACTAAATCGCGCAGGCGGCTAATTCAGAGAAAACCAAGTCGAAACGACAATTTGTAAAAAAAAAGTTCTTTTCCGAACTCAAATGTGCCATGATAAAACAAAAGATGTTCAATTCTAACAATTTATTAACAGTAAAGTGTCCGTAGTGTATGATTGTTTTTTAATCAACGTTGCAAAAATGTTACAAACTCAAGCAGGAATGGATGATATAGTGTTTATTCTTAGAGACGTTACCGGAATTGCTTGCTGGCGTCACAAGTGTATGTTGGGAGATAACCTGGGAGCAAACATTCAGATCCACGAGTGTTTCAAAAGGTGTTGGATAGATTTACAGCTACAGGGAGTGTAAAACGACCAAGGAGAATTAAACGGAGTTTGAAAAAAGAAGAGAATTCAGTGTACATTTCCCTACAACTACCACAATATCGTCCTATTCTAGGAGGGGGGGGGGCATTCCAGACCCCCAGACCCCCCAGTGATGTGTTGAGCATGAAAACGTTCAGCTTTTAAAACCTTTTCCAAAAATTCTGCTGTAAGTGGTAAGAATCTCGAAGAATAGTAGACATTTTGGTGGGTTTGAGGGGTTAGGAATACTCCCCAAGAAAGACACATCATATAACCTTCGGCACTGGGGACATTTCGTACCCCCCGTTGTTGAGTTTTGTTAACAAAGTTCAGTCCTCTTCAAAAATTATGGTGTAAATGGTAACGGTACCACACATTTAGGTAAAAAATATAAACCGGACGGTCTGGGGGATATGGAATAGCCTCCAGGAAAGACATCTGATAATACCTTCTTCACATGGAGGTATTCTGTAGTCCCCGTTCATACGTTGGGGCTCAAAAAGTTCAGTCCTTAAAAATCTTTCCAAAAAGTACCTATTGGTATTGGTAAGGGTACCACACATTTTGGGAAAGAATATAAAGCGTCATAATATCGTTCTATACGGGGGGGGTATGAATTGAACCCCCGGTGATGCGTTCTGCTTCAAAACGTTCTGTCCTTAAGTTGCTATAAATATGACACGATACAGGGCACTGGGTAGAATTCTCGACTAACATTACTGTTGTAACAAGTGCAATAGCGGGAGGATGAACCAAGAACTTGAAAATGAAAGGTCGCGAAAGTGTCGAAAACCACGCAGTTATTGTCTGATGTCCCGGTGTGCGTACGGCACCAAGGCGCATGTTCTGAGACGCGCTAACGCATATGTGAGTAATTAATTTCAAGACTGTTCTAATTTATTGTTAATTAATTGTAAATAAACAAACCACATTAATAAATTTACGTCACACTGGTGTCCGATGTGGGGTTGTGTTTAAGTAGACAATTAATGGAACTTTATCTCAATAGTGACCAAATCTATGTCGGAAAAATCGAGCAACGTATGCAATTAATGCAAGAAGTGAAAGCGGGCCATGGAAGCTGGTCTGCATGGAAGCTTAAATCATGTGAAGACAAGAAGTGAGAGACATGATTCAAGATAAGATACAGGGTGTCCAAGATAAAATTCATACCATAGAGAACGAAATCAATGAACTACGAAAAAGATTTATGTTATTGAGTGAAAAGAGCGATGTGTCATCTGTGATAAAACAAGATCGACTTGCTGTTCCACAATCGTCCCGCAAAGAAGCATGTGAAAATATTAGTACAACAAAAGCTCAAGTTAATCCATCGACATTCGATGGAAAATCACCGCTGTCCACCTACTTGAGACAGTTTGGCGCCGCCACAGCCGATACAAATAATTGGACAATGGAAGAGGGGGCAATTTTTGTAAGAGTTGCTTTACGTGGAGATGCGTTGAATGTTTTTCGTGCGATTCCAGAACACCACCAACTGCAGACTACAGTGCATCAAGTTTTAGGAAAGGGGAAGTGTAGCGAGCATTCAAGGAATCCAGATTGGCATCGAAACGCCATGTAAGATTAGTGATAAAACGATAAAGAAAGGAGGAGGGTGTGACGCAATCTTTCCGGGTAATATGACGTGTTTTGTTTTAGAACATACAAGGCCAGCCAATCGAATTGCGAATTAGTTAGTTCCAATTTCAACGCCGAAGTAATGCATAGTTCGCGAAATTATAAATTGTGCATTATATGTGAGTAATCAAAAATATTTTAACTGTTATAAAATAATTCACTTGAAGACTGTTATAAATTTATTCTTTCAATCTACGTAAAATTTGAAGTGATTTCATAAAATAAATTGCCTTTTATAAGGAATACAGGACAGATCCATCATTTTCAGTATTTCATCGAATAAGACATTGTCCATAAAATGGTACAAAATGAATTCATAAATAAACAAGACCCAAATAAATTTGACGTTAAATATTTTTAGCTAAAAAGTGCATGCAACAGAAGGGGTCGTTACTTTTATTATTGAAATTTTACGCCATTTTCTTACTAAAACCACGACCTTACTTCAAACCCGAAGTGATACAGAAGGAGAAATTAGTGGTGAGTTAATTTTAGAGCACCTAACTTCTTTCAAAAGAGATAATGCTGCTTATAGTAATTGCATTCAAGTTTTGGGGCTGTGATGTGGATCAATGGTTTGCCGTTTTTGGGGTTTCCTAACCTATCTAGGTACGCAGAGGTTTTCAGTGTACCTACCAACCAGGGCCAGGAGAAGTGGAATCGGAGACTAAAAAGGACCCTGTTTTGTAGAAAGTTATCCAATGGGCATGAAAGAGTTGGCCAGATAATGACAGAGGAATATTCACCACCCTCGACGTATAAGACTCAGATTCGCTGCTATCAGGATTGATTGCATGCACCCCTGATATTTTAAAGATCTGATGTAATTATTTTCATTGTTTTGTTGCCTCGAATAGATTGTGTTTTGTTTTTTTAATTTATCACAGAACTTAATTAAAATGATTAAATATTAAAATACTGATAATGCACGATTCCATGCAATTCAAGGTGCACTATCAAGTAATCTAAAAATCCAATATGGCGCTTATTTAACTTTAGAAAGTTGGTAAATGTTCCTCTAATGTTTATTGAATTTTTTTTTACATCAATTCTAAATTAAGCGTATCAAACACAGTAACTTTTATATAACACTTTTTTTAAATATCTTTTATACTTTCGATGATATTGGCAATCGGACACATAGCCCACGACTGCAAGGAAAATGACTTCAGCAGCAGGTATATGTATATATACAACTGTGGCAAAATTGGGCACCAAGTTAGGAACTGCAAGGAAGAGGTAACTTGATTCATGTGTAATGAAATTGAGCATAGGGATTTTACTCGTGCGAAGTACAGAAAACTAAGGGAAGAAAAAGCACAACGAACGTGATCTCACAGAGGAGCGGGAGTTATCGACATAACTTTTGTTACAAATAGATACAAGGATCATGTGAAGAATTGGAAGGTTTTGGAGGAGTAGTAGAGGCTACAAGCTAGAACACTAAAAAGCTTGATACTGTGGCTCTTGATAAGCTAGCAAGGGATACAAGATGAGGAACTTCACAAACGGCCGACATGTCGATGAGACATTTCCCTGAAGAGGAAGAGCGGATCACAGGGGTGTACTGGTGGCCCGGCAAGATTGCCCAGCAACATAAGATCTGCAATATGGCAAGGAGGAGTAATGAGCAAGTTACGCACCGAGACGAGTCTGGCCGAGAAGAAGGCGGCCCTGAAAAGAGAACGAGACCAGCTGTGTGACGAGCTAGACAAAGGCATTTGGGGGAAGGCATATTAGATAGAACTTTTCCCTATCCACGACAGCTGCTGCCAACGAACTGCTGGCAAATAAAGTACCGGGCTCAGATAACATCCCTGCGGTGGTGGCTAAAATCCTGGCTAAGATCCAATCTAGGTTTTGGAAAGCAGCACTAGACAAGACTCTGGATGCGGCCAGAACATACAACCCAAGAAAATGGAGTAAGCTGGTCCTGATTCCCAAGAATTATGCACAGCTAGCTCATCGTCAGGAGAATTACAACCGACAAACCGGACGGTGAAGAAATAATATTTGATGCCACAGCGGGGGTTCCACAGGGTTCGATCTTAGGGCCTGCCCTGTAAAGTATACTGTATGACAAGTTGCTTGAGTATAAAAGTGAGCTGAATGAGGTCGAGATAATCACTTTTGCCGACCACCTTACGCGGATAGTTCGTGACAGGAAACTGGACTCGTCAATTACCAAGCTAGAGGAAGCGATTAACCGGGTAAATAGATTAATAATCAATCACAATCTTAGTCTGGTGCCGGGAAAGAAGAGTTTAGTAATCTTGAGGGGCAGAAGAGAATGACCAGAGGTAAATATCCAAATATTGGGCACGGCAATTATACAATTAATACAATTGTTCCAGTTCGCGCGTTTCCGTAACCAATCGGTTCTGAGTACCGCGACCAATCCAGACGTTCACAGTTGAACGAAAGTTCAGGGTCAGTCGACGAAAAATAAGTGACTATTACCTCACCACATCCAACTTCACGCTTACGGTGGCATACAAATGTAATAAAATTAAACCCAAAAGATGGAGAGTCCGTAATGACGCGAGCCGTTTGTTTTTTTTAAAT